ACAATTAATCAGTTTCACAAAGAGTGCATTACAATGGTCCTGCAATCTTCACTAGAGGAATTTTCAGTTATTGTTAAAAACATGTGCTTTTTGCTCAGATTAATGTGAGTATTTTCGTAATTACATTTTTAACTCAGTTTTAATAATCCATTAAAAGTCTTATGTTTCCACTTATTAAGTAATACTTTACCTATAGTTTAAACTATTACTTTAGTCACAGAACTTGCAATAACTATCAAATTACTGAAATTAAATACATCAAAATTTACACATCAACAATGTTGACCACTCTGCAGACGACACTATGAATCTAATCTATATATATCATACACAGTTTGTTGTAAGTCCGTTTTCTCAGTCATTACTGGACTGATCTAGAAGATTTATGTCTCAAATTAAAGGGGGTAGTGTGTAGATTTTCCGAACATCCTTAGAATTTACGTTTTTTCTAAGGGCTAAGACCTACAGCCCTTCAAAGGTCGAGTCAATACAATTCTTATTAAAGAATATAATACACATTTTATAAATTATTCGTCAGCTGTTTGATGTTTGTCAGACATTTGTTATTATTTTTATAACCTCACTTTCAAAATGTAATTATTAATCTACAAGTTTCTGTTTATAAACGATTTTGATAAAGGAAAAGTGTATTTGCTAGCTTTTTATACGGCAATGTATTATTTATAAATGTATGTGAACATTATTTGTATGTTTTTTGGTGTACATTTTGTATTTTTGAAATGTTTTAGTTTTCCTGCGAAGTGATCTGAAGGAAAGTGGTAATTGAGTTTAAGTTTGGGCTGCACTTTACTTGACGTCCTACACTCATTCGATTGTTTTTTCCGATTCGATATTTACATTCGATTGTTTCATTCGATATATCGTTTGGTTAGTTAGGTTAGGTTAACCTTACCTAACTAACCAAACGATATATCGAATGAAGCAATCGATTAATCGATATATCGATCGATATTTTCATTCAAATGAGTGTAGGACGTCAAGTAAAGTGCAGCCTAAGTTTGAGTATGGAATGTGAAATAATATCCATAGTAGGGGACAGAAACTTATTGTTTTGATCAGTATAATTATTATTCTCTACAGCCACCAGAACAATCATAGGAAAATCCGCTTGCAAGTTGTACAGATAATTGCTAATGAGTGGGAAACATAGAAACATTTTATCAGAAGTGATTAATCTTACTCAATATCAGTGTTTGACGTTCAGCAGTACCAAATTTTTCCTTCTCGAGATGGCAAGTACGCTTGGAGGCGAGGAACTAAAATTTATCAGTGAACTATACCCGAACTATTTTTTTCGAGTACACGGGGAAGTTGCTTGAGAGACTGTGACTTACGATTTCGGTTCTGGCAAAGAAGTACGGTACCGGTATGTGACTTGATGTTTAATGGCAATATTGACTCGAGTCATTATAGCGTTATAAAACGAATATAAAAAAGTATCAAGGGTCAAAAGAAACAAAAAAATATTTGAATAACATAATATCATACAAATCTGCATTTGAAATGGCGAGTTCTAAGTCTCACTTGAATCAACATCTATCTGGTAGTGGCAGTCTAAATAATTTTAAGATCCGGGACTCCTTTTACCATCGGATTGGACTATCAATGTTTTCAGTTTGTTTTTCAATTTGGACTTTTTTGTTAATACCCTCTAACATTGAACCAAAGTATGCCCAACTTTATATAAACGACGTAAACACAGCTGTTACTCACAGAATGGGTCAAAGATTTGTGAAATGCAACCCACTGCTGATGAGTGATTTACATGTAAGTGACTATCTTTATTCCATACAACAAATGTAATGAAAAAACCACGAATTTAGGAATATACTTGAACAAATTATCCCCATAGTATAAGTAGCTGCTTAATAGGAGCATTGCGCAGTTTGTATACTATTTATTTTTCATATGAAACTCAAATTAATATAAAACATTCATTTGGTTAAACTAATACATCGGTTTGATTAACATAAACTACTTTTAAAGGCAAACTATCAGTTCTATTTCATGTCAAAAACTAAGCAGCCTCCCCTAAATAAAATACAAAGATAAACAGTATTTGTTAATTATTATGTCTTTTATTGCTGACAATATTCCCGTAGCGGAGCACAGGCGGTTAACTAGTTTGTTTTAACGCTGGGGAGAAGCATGTGAAATTGCCAGTGGAGTCCACTATTTCCAGAGTTTATTGATTAGCATCTATCAAGCAAGTGCTACAGATATTTTGAATACAATATATTCAAGTACACAAGCTGCATGTAAAAAGCCTAGATGTATCGTGTCAACAAGCTCTGTGTGCTTGACTCTTTAGGGAAGTGTTTTTTACAGTAACAACGACAGTCTATATCAGTTATCTAAGAATCAAATGGGAAAAGGTTAGGAGGTATTTTTGTACTTCCAAGTAAATATTTACAATAAATTGACTGATTTGTTGGGATAAGTTTCCTATGTAATGGGATAAGGTGAGGAAGTATTTTTGTTTATCAAACTCGATGTTTGAAAAACTAATGACATTGATATTATGGAGTAGAATTGAACAGAAAGCTTAATACAAAAACTAAAAGAAAAACTACAAACTTTTTATTTAAACTGAATATAGCACATTTTACATGGAATTATGTCCATTATGTTCACAGTACAAACAACAATATTGTACAATAGCTAAAATATTATTACACTAGGCTATTAAATATATGAACACAATCGTAAGTGCCTTATCGTATCCTTATATCTAAGACACAGAGATAAAAATATTTTTTTATGATCTTTAAAACATTACTTAAAAAACAAGTTACAAGAATTTAATAAAGGTTACACATTTGATGTCATCTAATACATTTTTTTTACTTTTAGAGTATTATTGGCACATAATTAAATTTTTAGATACGGCTGTGGTAAAATATTTTTATATATCACAAAAGCACACAGTTGAAATATCTGGTTTTTAGTGTTTTATTTTATGATGCTTTATAGTAATGAGGAAAATCGGTTAACTTACAATAATGAAAAGCACCATTTCAAATTTCAATATTGGTAATAGTTATGTTTATGTAAAAAAAGATTGTGCTTCAAAATATAAAGATGTATTGTAAAAATTTGAGACTATTGTTAATTTAAACATCTAATTAAGATTGAATTTATTTTAGTCTTTTTTTTATTTGACTGAAGCTTTTTTAAAAGGTTAATTTTTATTTTCCATTTATATAAAGGTTTATAAAAAAGATAGTTTACTAAATATTAAAGATTTGCTATTTATTCTAATCATATTACTATTCCACATTTATTGTGCCTTAACCATTGTTTGAAACATATTCTAACGACCCACAACAGTGTTACAAAATAAAGTCCTATATCACTGTAATGTGTAATTTTTCAAAATACACTTAAAATTCAAAAGTAACTTTTGATTCGAGGTTTTTTTGAAGGGATATAGGTACATATCGAATTTGAATTATTATTGTTACTAATAGAACAATTTAACATTTTGTATTTCATAGAAAAATAATATTTGATCAATCATGAACAAATTTTGCTTTTCTCTATTAATTAAAAAACTTACTTACATTACAGGACAGTTCCATATATTATCTAGAGGAAAATTGTGTTTTCAGAAGTTCATAATTATGAAATTAAGGGTTGAAATTCAAACATAGGCTGGGATAAAACCTGCAATCATTTTTAACACAAGGTTAGTTGAATAAAATTATATTTATATCGATTAAATTTAAAGTAAGAAAACTTCAATTTTATGAAATAGATTTGATTAATAAGTATGTCTTTTCCCCCTTTGATATACCTATTTCTTCTATAAATAGTTTCTCAAAGCATGAAAAAAATATAAAAACTTAACAATAATATTAAAAAAAACTATGTCTTCAAAGGATACGAAAGAGGACATAATATGTCCCTTTCAAAAACAACACGACACGACTAAATCTAATATAATAAATAATTTTTCATGCCGATATTTAATGGGAAATAGACAAAGTCATATACTTGAATGTAATTAAATACAACAAATTAGAATTGGACTAATTAACTTGGTTTGTTAAAACTAATTTGTACATACAGAACGTAATATTTTAAAACAATTTTAAGTATTAATGAACTAGTATCTGGAAGGGAAAAAGAAGAAAACAGTTAAACTCTGCTTAACTGGAATTGGATTTTTACCAGTGTTTCAGAAAAGTAATATCTGAAAACGGAGTTCTACTGAACGTTTTTATAGCAAAATATTAAATTGAATAAATTAATACTTCCCCTGTATAGTATTGTCAAATACAAAAAACTAACTGAAAATCATACATATTTAATTCTGTAACTCAACATCCAAATTCTATTTAATTCTTCAAGAATCAAATTTGTGATGCCCCTTTAAAATAAAGTAGTTTAAACAGTATGTACATAACAATAAAAAATAATAGAGCAACAGAAAATAAACATATAACCTAACAGTAACAATGAATTTAGAATAAAATCTGAGGAATCCCCCAAGTCGATAGAATCCTTTTATTTGTACAATTTACAATATTTACATGTAAACAGAGCTTTTTTGTACATGATGATCTGAAACTAACTTCTGAAGATCTAGTCAAGTAACACATTCCCAAACTGTCACTAAACAAAACCTATAGACTAGCCAATTTCAAACGGAAGTAAAAAACAATTTTTCTACTTATATTGACAATAAAGGATGAGTTTTATTTGTACATTTCAACGTCATTGCTAAACTTTAGGCAAATGAATATTGCATAATGAATTATAACGGTTAAGGAGTTAAATCGAGTATTATAAAACTGTAAAATAATAGTTAAAACAAAAATTAATTACATTTGAGATTTTACTCATTTTGGAATACAACATTAAAGACTTAACTCACAAAGACTAAAAACCTTTTTAACAAATTTATTTTCATCCACAAAATTTATAAAATTTGAAATTTTTAAGAGGTTTGGTTTGAAAATTAAAACCCTACTTAAAAGATCTACAAAAAAAAGATTTTGTTACACTATAGAACATGTTTACCTCAAAACCAAGAGATAATAAACTTTCAACATGTTGTTTGTTGAAATATAGAAAATTTACATTTTTACGTTTCTAAACTTTTCTTAAAAGCTTATCAAGATACACTTTACATGCCAAACAAATCCAAGAATTAAAACTGTAAAACCTTTTTTTCAAACCAGAAAATAATAACTTGTAATGCGCAAACAATGTTTTACTTTACCATCCAATCGCATAACGTTAACGCATAATCCAATATACGTTTTAAAACATTGCTTTGAAATAAATGAACAATTTTAAAGTCAGGTAACATTGTTTTTGTCCTAATTTAAAGATAATACAAAACTATTCTTAATAGGTAAATAATAAACAGTATAACTTTTGTACTGAAGAGTAATGGGTGTGTGAAGGTATTCAATGATATCGCGACAATCATACAAGACTTATCCTTAAAAGGAGAGTTTAATATGTAGTGCTCTACAAAATCCGGACTGTATTTGGTGTGAAGCATATTTGGATTTTGTAAAATCAGAATTTATTTGATTCAAATTGCTGATGTGAGCTAAAAGATGACATAGCTTACAGTAAGTCGACCTATCACTTTGGCTTGGTTAAAAGGTTGGTGTGATCTACGTATATCGGTGATTTTTGTCAGTGGCTTGGCTTGAGTTTACACCTAATTTGATAAAAAAAAAAAAAAAAAAAAAAAAAACTTTAACATGAGGATGAAGTGTGTAGTTAAATATACTAGGTAACACCGTAATGCACATTATCAGCACCAAAATCTCATAATAACCTGTGCTTTAGTGATAACAAAGAGTTATTAGAGATACAAAATACAGTAGGCTATACAGTAGGAAAATAACTTGAAAATTGAAATTCAATTTTTATCAGTCCACATTTTTGAGATCTAGATTTAAAATCTACTTTATATAGGATTAAATAATACATAATGTTACAACTTCTAACCTTTTAAAATGTGAATGTCATGGCACTGCATGTTTTGAACTAACAGAAACTGATGTTTACAATCTTGATACATTTGAACTGTGCAGCTTTTACAGTACTAAAAACTACATCTGCATTTTTAAGTACTTTTTCGAATTGGAAATAAGGTTATGAACAAACTCATTCATCAAAATATTCCGAATGTAATTTTGTTGCTTTGAATATTGGATAATGGATACATTCATACACTTATACAAAAATGTTTGAGAAAGATTAACAGACAAACTGAACTAGCAGACTAATAATTAATTATAAAATAATCAAATATCACATCCAAATTGCATGTAGTAGAAAGTATTAAAACTTATACTATGTAAACATTTCTGTTAAAAACCAAAAATGTAATTAACTATACAAATAAAAATACCAGACTTTTTCAATAAATTCAATAAATACCGTACAATTTGTGTATTCCGGCAAACAGAGTCCAACCAAATACTCACATGCCTTTAACATATTTATATTAGCACTCGTATTAGCTATTGAAATATTCTTTGAACTGATTTCAAATCATTAAAATTTAAAGGAGTTGTTGCACCTAGTTTTGTACTTTAAACATTTGATCAATGGAATACACCTGTAAAACATAAACACTCAATCACCCTACAATTCAGCCTATAATTAGTAGTTATAAACCAACTAAAAACAATTGAAGCTTTCAAACCTACAAACTAATACTTTAAGCAAGAAACAATTACATGTGAAAATATTGACACTTTCTAAACTTTAGAAAAAATGCAACTGCGTTAAGTGTCATGAATTACACACATTTTAATCAGCAAAATCAAGCTAAAAAAATAAATACTGTTAAACTAATTTTGTTTGTAAAGTTTCAGGATGGATAATCGAGACACAGATTAATAGGGAGGGAGGGGGGGAATAGTCAGGAGACACAGGAAAAGTAATTTATACATCATTAGAGTAAATTTTATGACTTAACTGAATGCTAAAACCAAAATGTTGACCTTGAACCCTAAACTCGGAAGATTACTGTGAAAATGGGTCAAGCTCCTTGAAAAACCACAGACAGCTACGATTGTCCTGCGTTTATGAAAAAAACTTTTGTTATGAAAACGTAGGAATTGTGACGAAAACTTCACATTTAGTTAGTCAAAAGCTAATTTCCAGTAGGGGTTTTTATACCTAGGATAGTTAAATTTATATTATATTGTTGTTTTGGACTACTTGGTCACTGCAAAAAATTAAAAATGCCTATTTTCAAACTGCTTAAAAATCTCATGATTGAGACTGTCTAAATACTTGAGATGACATAATATCACTGCCAAAGAGAGGCAATGAGTTAGTAACCCTTGCTGGACTATAGTGCTGATATCCACTGCTCAATTTGTGCATAGCGGACGGTTTTTTGGGATCCGCCGACGGTAGGCGGATATATCAGCTGATTATTACGGCAGTTATCGTTACCTATACTTGATTGTCTATAACATGATTAATCTTCATAAAAAATGTCAATATAGTCAAATGTATCTTTAACCGATGTACTAGGAATGTTTTTTAGAAGAATAAGAAATTTTGTTTGAACCATATAACGAGGAAGAAAAAAATAGGTATAAAAATATTTTCGACAAAAGTGTTGCATAGGTTAACTATTTACAACATTCTATACATTATAGATATAAAAGATATTTTTTAGTATCTATTTAAATAAAATAATTTTGCTGTCTGTATACATCGTACGATAGGCCGTCTAGGAAGGGTTAAAGGAAATTGGCCAACAAAGGAAGTTAGGTAAAAAATGTTTTTCCAAATTGAAGCTGAATTGCTTACGATACCAATGTTGGCGGGGTTATGACTAATCAGGTTCCATTTTTTCTGGTTTAATATTTGCTGTCAGGTCTGCGATGATCGCATTGAGATCTGTAGAATTATCAGTCCCCATCAGGTTACCTAGTTGTGAATCCTAAACATAAAGTATGGAGGAATGATTCTCTCAGAGAGTATGGAGCATTAATTAAATCAAAGAGTATGGAGCAATGTTTGACTCAAGAGAGTACGGAACAATATCTCACTCATATTGTGACAGTATGAAGCAATGATTAAGGGTGTAATATAGCAATGAATTAATTGGAGAGTTTGAACTATTTAGTAACTTTTTATTAACTAATAAGAATAAGAATCCTTTATTGTCATTAGACACAGATGTGCAATAGACATTGCCAAAGAAAACTATAAAATAAAAAATGTAACAGAGTCATGAACATTATCACAGTAGACCTTATGTAACAAAATACATGTAAAACTTAGCCTATATCACAGAAGAGATCACAGTTGTCAATTGAGAATAAATATCATAAAATAAAAAATTGTTGAATAACAAATGCATGTTAGGCTACTTAATCTATAAAATCAGTAGCACTCAAATGTAAAAACTCATTAACAGAATTAAGTGGGTGCTTTAGAAGACCATTTGTTACGACAGTTTTAAAATTAGCAAAGGATTCAATATTCCTGACATGATGAGGTAGTATATTGTACAGTTTAAGAATAAGTTTAATAAAGACTGAGCTAAAATAATCCCGTTTCCATCAACAACAAGGGTAATGTTAGATTTAAATTTTCACAAAGAAGTGTAAAAGCTTACCATATCCGAGAGCCGACTCTCGTTGCCCAAATCTTTGATGTCCGTATCGAGATTGTTGAGGAATGAGAACCCACTGAGAGAAAGATCAGGGTCGGATGTTATCCACTGGTCTTTGGATACTTCACTACCATCCTGGCTGTCCAGCAAACCTATGAAAATTCAAATCATACAGTTTACTAATAAAAGTTACCATTTATCCTTATTATTTTTAGGAAAAAGCATTAAGTTTGGATTAACAGTGTCTTAGTCTAACCTCAGTGTCCGTAAATACAATAACTTATTGCTATGTGTCTGTATTTGGTGCTTTGTGTTGTGCCAGTTGGCTATCCTGTAAGCCATTTTAAAATTTCAAACTGTGACATCTTATTTTAAACTGTTGTCTTTGTAACTGCCCTCTCCTTCTGAAGAAGCCTTTGGAACAGAGGAAATACCAAGTCTTTTGTGATTATATAATTTGTTTGTAGATAGATAGATAGATATTTATTGGCACAAAACGTACAGAATATTACAGGATGTATGTACAGGTGCTTCGTCATAAATGACGAAGCTATTTGTGCTATTTGTGTATTGTATTAACCCATTGAGGAAGGAATTAATGCGCTGCCTGCAATGCCCTTGGTCAGCAATTGATTTTACCGAATTTGTAGACTTTTACTCAAATTGTTATATAGAAAGAAAACCTTAGGTAATAATTTAATAACTCTTTTGCCATTTTGTTCACAATACAATTGTCTACAAAAAAATTGTAGTTTTTAGTGTAAAACTTTAAAAATAAAATTATGAAAAAATGTTTAAAATTGTTTTTAAAAGTAAACTTTATTTACAAATTCCAAGATTAATCCAGACAACAAATGACACTATCAATCATAATAAGTATTAACATAGAAAAAACATTTTGTTTTACCAAACCTCAGCTCATTTTGGGTGATATCTGGTTTCCATGGCAACACAACCTTTGTGGTTCAAAAAAAAAGAGATTAAATATGCAAAACAAGAAGCAAGATATAAACATTATAAAACTAAAAAAAACTTTATAAGAAAAACTAGGCTTGTATGTTGGATTCATAGTTAGGAAAGTTAGTAAAAAATTTTAACTAGTAAGAAATTATTAGGTAGTCCCGTAAAAAGTAACTGATAGAAGTTATTAGTTAGTTGGTTGAAAAACTAACTGATAGAAAATAAAGTTAGTTTTTGTAGAAGTTAGCTGTTTGTTGGACAGTTGTTTTAAAGGATTTCGTAATGACACATCTTGGTTACTTATCAATACTATAATACAGTATGAGTATAGTTTGAGCACAATGATTAAAAAACGGCTGCTATGATTTCTTCCAATTGCAATGCTATTGGGGGAGAATTGCTTATATAATACATTTGCATTGTAAGATGTATTATTAACCAAAGGGATAATAATTGCGTTACTACAACAGAAACAAATGAAAATGAAATTGGGAAAGCTAGTTAAAAATTCTATCTAGTTAGAAGTTATTAGTTAATCCCGTAAAAATTAACTGATATAAGTTATTAGTTAGTTAGCCAAAAAAACCAACGAATATTGCTATTCGTTATTCCCAAGTACGGTAGGATTTTGGGTCTGCAGCGGCCAAACGAGTAACGCTTGTAAGTCAGTGCCTATGAGTTAACCCTAGTAGTGGCCAACGATTGTAATACGCTCGTTTGCCGCGAGGCCTAGAATGGCCACCAGCGTAATACGATAGTATGGGCTGAAATTTTTTTTAACAGTAAAAAACTGCTTATAATGAACTCTGATGTGAATAATATATATATATATACCATTAACCGCAGGGGGCTCACGCTTGCGTGGGTTCGTGGCCTGGGCGACCACGCGGACCCTAGCTCTCCCAGAGGGGAGGTAACTGCCCGGTGTCAGACCCGGCACTTCAGGTAGACCACAGTTATGGACGACTGGTAAGCGCCAGCCCCTTAGGGGGAGCCTCCAGTGACATTCCCTCCATTCAGGGTGGGGGGGGTGTTTAGCTCTCAGTGACGCCGTTAATTCCGCCTCTCCTCAACTACCTGTAACTGTGGTTGTGACTGAGTCCTACCTGTTGTGTTCGACTGACATTTTGTGAGGCATATCCTCGACTTTGGAAGTAGCCTCGTCCTGGGAGGTGAAATACCTAGCCCCCAGAGGGGAGGTAAATGCTCCGTGTTGGTATCGGCATTTCAAGTTGGCCACAGACATGGTCGACTGGGCATCGGGTCCCAGTGACATTCCTTTATCCAGGATGGAGGGGTGTTTAGCTCTAGGAGAGATGGAAGTACATCATAATCTCTAACCTACCTGTGTCTGTGGTACTTTGGGCTTCGGCCTGCTTGTGGTGTGCGACCAGCATTCAGTGGGCAAATCCTCGACTTTGGAAGTAACCTTTCCTGGAGGTGAAAACGGGCAAGTACCCGCAGCTCACGGGGACACTCAAGGGCAACGTAACTTTCCGCAGTGTGAGGGCAACGGTTTGTAGGTACTTATGCAAACCTATCCCTGTCTCTGAGCACGGACGGTATGGTTATCTTGAGTGTGGGGGGTTCTTCCCGGAACCTCAATTGAGTCAAGGGTGTCGCCACCTCTGGTGGATAGGTTCATCCGGGTGGGTCCCACTTCTATACCTGCCTCCTTTTGGGAAACCCTGATGGCCTGGCAGTGATGTTGGGTCTGACGGGCAAACGAAGTAGATCGGGTGCTGGGTCCGAGCCCGCCAGGGGTATCTGGGGATCTATCGCTCTGGATATCTCTGGTTCCCAGCAATGGGTCAGGCCTCGATCGGGCAGCGGTGTAAATGGGAGGTTGGGGTTCCCCCCGTCAGCGTGCTGATGGTCCCCTTCCTCCTGGCTATTGATGGCGGGTTCTGCCTGTCAGGGATGAGATAGGTCCCGAGTGTTGCTTGCACTAAATGCGTCGGGGCGCTCTACTATGGACCTCTAGGTTCCGACCTAGTGGAACCCAGGTGGAGTGACGCTTAAACAAGCAGCCGGAATCCCTGGTTAGGATTGAGGGGCAACCCTCTTTCCGAAGGGTCTGCTTCGGCAGCCGGCGAGCCTGATGACCTTAAGTCATCCGCCCATGATGTGCTAAAGGTTGATGCGTAAGCTTCGGCCTACATCATGGGGCCCGGGTATGTCCTGTAGGATAGGTACCGGGTAAGCAGTCAGGGGGCTTCGGCTCTCATGACAACAAATCTAAAATCTAAAATCTAAAATCTAATATATATACCATTCAAAATATCACACTCTGAACTTTAATTTTTTATTATATAAACAAACCCTGAAGCAGGAGGTATATAAAAATGTCACAACGATTAGAAATCAAATGAATTTTTGGCGCGGCATGACTTTTGCAAACACTAAAATATACAAGCATTATCTTTATTTATAAATAAAACAATATTTTTATTTTTACCATAAACTTTATGACTTTTTTGGATACCTTACTTCATTAGATTTACATGTAAATATCATTATTAGTAGGCCTATACACATATATTATATAACTTTTTTAAAACACAAACTAACACTGTACGGTTTTCAATTTTTCCGGTTCTCCGTTTGTTATTATATTACGCCTAAAAAACTTACAAAGAAAAAATATTTTCCTAACTTGTTATACAGGGTGGTCTGGACCTAGCGTTAAAATTTTTTTTGGGTGGTAGACCAACACTAATGTGACTCAAATCCACAATTTAAAAAAAATATATTCCATAAACCCACTTGCAGAAACGTTATTTTGATTTTTTTAGAAAAACCTGTACATTTCCACAACATTTTAAAATTCCTCTAGTATTTTCATACATTTTTATAACTTTGACACTACCATCATATTCTCCATTAAATTCTATGTAAGAATAGACAGCTTTTGGTGAGCCCAAAGCTTCAGAATTGCTATTTAAATTGATTAAAACTAAGAAATTTTGATTTTCCCAAAAAAAGGTTAAAAATAAGCCTACAGACACTTTTTTTAAGCAAAATAGTAGAGATTAGCAAATTGCTACAAAAACTTCTCTAAAATCTTAGCTTTAAAAAAATACGATTAGGCATTTTATTTGCTTCCTTTTAAGTACAGCTATTCCAGTTATAAAAATTGAAAACAAGGTTTCACTCGAACTCCATTAAACGCTAACAGCGGTTTTCCAAACTCTGTAGAATGTCACTTAATTATCTAGCAAAGAGATAAATAAATAATTTTAGTTTTAGATTACTTATTTTAGTCAAATAATTACAAAATAACTTAGGGGCAAGGAAAAGTATGTTATTTTCCACTAAGATAACTGAAAGGTTTTGTCCAGTATCTGATTACAGCCTACCTTATCATGAGATAAGCTTGTATTGACTGATCCAGTGGATAAAATTTTAATAGATTTCAGTCATTTACTCGTTGTTAGTTGTCTGAAGATGTCCTATTCAAATCAGGAATATGCGGAAATGCATTTTATATATGGTTTCTGCAATGGAAATGCAAGTGCGGCTCAAAGGGAGTACACCATTCGCTACCCTGGTAGGCGCATTCCCAGTACGCAAGTGTTTGTGCGGCTGCATCAGCGATTGGTAGAACGTGGATCCGTACACAAGGAACGTAGTGTAGCACCGGTGGAAGTGTGCGTTGAAGAACAAATTCTGGACCGAGTTAGTGAAGACCCGGAGATAAGTAGCAGAAATCTTGCTAGTGAAATCGGTGTAAGTAAAACTAAAGTTTTATCTATTTTGCACAAAAACAAACTCCATCCTTACCATTTCACAAAAGTTCAAGGCCTTGAACCCAATGATCATGGTGCTAGAGTAGATTTTTGTCGCTACCTCCTGAATTCTGACATTGAACAATACCACTTTTTCAAAAAGATTTTGTGGACAGATGAAGCTCTTTTTACAAGACAAGGTGTATTCAATTTTCACAATATGCATATGTGGAGCACTGAAAACCCACAGGCAACTAGAGAAATGTCCTTTCAAAAAAGGTTTACAGTAAACGTTTGGGCAGCTGTGATTGGTGATCGCTTCTTAGGTCCCCATATTTTTCAGGGAAGTTTGAGTGGAGAGATGTACCTTAACTTTTTGCAACACGATCTGCCTCAAATTTTGGATGTGATTGATCCTGTGCTCCGCCAAGATATCATTTATCAACAAGACGGAGCACCTCCTC